CGTTTGGATCGCGCTTTTTGTCTGGTTATCCGAAAACACAGTTTCATTTTTACACTAAACTCAGGCTGCGGGTTGACTCCCGCGGTCGACTCGCAGGCCCGTTTCAGAATAAGCTGTTTATCCTGAAACACACAAGCTGCCCCAAACGCACACTTAATCATAATTTGACCATTTCAATACGATTTATTGTGTCAAATTGCGAAATCAAGTTAGGAAAGATCAAATATGAGTATATCTCCTGTAATGGTGATGATAAGTAGAATTTTAAATCTCAAATGATCAACTTTAAAATTATCAATATTTTATCTATTTGTAACTCATAAAATTTAATAAATTGATGAAATTTAAGATAATAAAATTCAATATTTATATAATTCGACTTTGAGTATAATATGTAAATTTTAATCTCAATTTTCTTATACTTATATATATTATATTCAAGCAAATTGGACTATTTCATAAAAAAAAAAAAATGATGCAAATTTAAAAGAGGAATGAGTAATACTTCCATAAATCCAGTTTAAGTGGTTTTTAATGATTGCTAATAAGCCCATATAAACTTTCATAATTAACTTTTATTCAACCAAGCAAACCTACTCAAAATTTTCTAATGTAAATGACTTTATTATAATTTTCGTTCCATTTTTGCAGTATTCATACTCTACGTTTGATGTAGTCGATCAACTAGGGCTGTCAAAAAAGCTCGTTGTTCACGAACCGAAAACACAGTTTCATTTTTACACTAAACTCAGGCTGCGGGTTGACTCCCGCGGTCGACTCGCAGGCCCGTTTCAGAATAAGCTGTTTATCCTGAAACACACAAGCTGCCCCAAACGCACACTTAATCATAATTTGACCATTTCAATACGATTTATTGTGTCAAATTGCGAAATCAAGTTAGGAAAGATCAAATATGAGTATATCTCCTGTAATGGTGATGATAAGTAGAATTTTAAATCTCAAATGATCAACTTTAAAATTATCAATATTTTATCTATTTGTAACTCATAAAATTTAATAAATTGATGAAATTTAAGATAATAAAATTCAATATTTATATAATTCGACTTTGAGTATAATATGTAAATTTTAATCTCAATTTTCTTATACTTATATATATTATATTCAAGCAAATTGGACTATTTCATAAAAAAAAAAAAATGATGCAAATTTAAAAGAGGAATGAGTAATACTTCCATAAATCCAGTTTAAGTGGTTTTTAATGATTGCTAATAAGCCCATATAAACTTTCATAATTAACTTTTATTCAACCAAGCAAACCTACTCAAAATTTTCTAATGTAAATGACTTTATTATAATTTTCGTTCCATTTTTGCAGTATTCATACTCTACGTTTGATGTAGTCGAATACGTTCATGATAAAGCAGATGGTTGTCGACTCTCGACATCAACAACATTACCTTTAACTTGAATCATGTACAAACAAGCTCTACATAACCTTCAAGATTGAATTAAAACTTCATATTATTTTCCTTACTTTCGTTCATCTTAAAGAAAAAGTTTGAGATTATAGTTCATAAAAATAACCATAATGCTTGGAATATATCAAAGTATTTAAAACATTCACTTATGAACCATGGTAATCAAATGTTATGCTTCGATCATATGTATTAGAAGATTTGTTGGCGTGTTCCTACTAACGACCAAATCATTTGTTGGGACAAACTTTAACATCTTATTATGTTTCAAATATTTTTTTTCCCTAATAAGAGACTTCCAACATCGAGTCAATAAACATTGAGATTTCAAAATAATTGTCGTTGTTTATTGTGTAATGATAGATGTTTTTTTTTTTTTTTTTTGGTTTTGAACAATATTTTGATAAATTTTAAGGATAGATTTTATTAAGAATAGAGTTAAAGCATTTATTAAGTTCGCTCGTCAAATAATTCTCTAAAGGATAAGATTTATTAATGTGAATACGAACGTCATACCATGACTGAAAACTTAATAAACCTCTGAATTTGAGTGTGACAAGGAGCAATGTCATTAGAAGTTTTCATGGTTATGACAACTCGTATGAAGAGTAGGGCTGTCAAACGGCTCGTTATTTGCGAACATCTCGTGTTCGGCTCGTTAATTTCGTTCGATAAGTTAATGAGCCGAACACGAACTAAGATGTGTTCGTTCGTTTTAAAAAAATCTAATTGACTACAAGGCTACAAAGATTTATAATCAATTAAAATATTGATTAAGAAAATAGAATAAAAATTATTAAATTAGATTCAAATGATGTTTTAATATAAATAATAATTTTTAAATCTTGCTCAAACCCTTAGTGTCTTATGACTACATGATTAGGGTAGTTAAAATGACTCTTTGTTTGTGAACAGCTCGTGTTCAGTTAAGTAAACGAGTCGAACACGAACACACTTTTTAAGCTCGAATTATAAATGAGCCGAACATGAACAACTCCTTGTTCGTTCGTGTTCGGCTCGTTTTAGCTCGGAGTTTGCCAAAATGCAATAAGTCTTATGGGATATCCATAGGAAAACTTATATGATATCATGTCCTTATTATTTAATGTGTTGCCACTGTTCTTATATTGTTGATTAAGGTAAATAATATATGCATACAGACATCCATATATCATATATTATTAAAAGATGTACAATATGGTTTACCTTGTTTTGAATTATCTATGTAATTCATACTAGTAAAGTAACTCTTTATTATTATAATTGTTTTTTAAATAGTAAAATTAAGACAAATTTACATAAATAAAAATTTAGCATCACATAAAATAATGAAGCCTATAAGTGGTTTTAAGCATATGGTCACCAATACTGTTATTTACACAAATGTATTTTTTTGATAATAAATCAAATAAATAAATTAAAAATATACTAAATTTTTTTATCATAATTTTAGGCAAAAACTAAATTAAACTTATTTTTGTTAAATATGTTTGAAATGTCGGTAAATCATAAACATTTAGGGTCTGTTTGGGGTAACTGCAGCTTATTTAATAAACTGTTGATAAACTGATATAAATAATCTGTTGATAAGCTAGGTGCGATGACTATTACAATTTTTTATTTTTTTGGAAAAGTCAGACTGCTGCCAGAAAGCTGTCATCGCACCTAGACAGATGCGGTGTGAAAACTCTGTTTTCAGCGTTTTGAAAACGCATGGGTTGCCAAAACGCAGTTTACCCAAACAGACCAGGTGCGTTTTCAAAACGTCACCGCACCAAATAAGCTGCCCCAAACACATCGTTAATTTTCAATCATGATCTCTAGCTTTCTTTTGCATCGTTAATTTTCAATCATGATCTCTAGCTTTCTTTTGCTGGCTCTTGCGATTTGATCATTTGGCTGCACATACCATGACATGCTCATTTTTATCCCTCACGGTGCATCACCCAAACCGAGGTTGATTCCCATGTTATATTTGAATTCTTTTTCATATAGAGATTGTCAATATATATCAAAAAATGTTTGATGGTTTTTTGTGTGAGCTTGAATATTTATTGCTAAAAGATTATTTTGAGATTCGTGTCACGTCTTGAGATCTATACTAAATGACAAAAATTTCTCGATGCCGTATGATATATTCTTTTCTCAAAATTGAGATTGAGTGCATATATTCTACATAACAATGCTTTTAGTGCTATGTATGCAATTGCCTCAAAGAAGATTGGTGGATATATTGATTGAGAGTGTAGTTTCTCATCGTGAAGTCGTGGATTCGTTTCATACATATTGCCTCGTAGGCTCGCCTCTCTCGGAAAATAAAAGCTGTTAAATTTGGAGTTACCTGCGAAGGAAATCTTAAGGCTGAGCTTATTTTATATATTTTTAAAAGAAATTAGAAGTTATTAATTTTATATTTTTAAAAGCAATTAGAAGTTATTAAGGAAATATTTACTTGTACATCATCAAATTTTAATGTTTCTATGGAATTCCTAAGTTTGAGCTTCTTCTTTATTTTTATAGCAATTTATTAAAGAAATATTTACCTGCAATTTATTTGCATTTTATATATTTATACATGTAACATCTACATTTAAAATTTTATCATTATAGTTATTGTGTTCTAGAAAATTCTCAACAAGAAGGAAATATTAAGCCGCCCGCAAGGTTAAAATTGTTGGAGACATCCAAATTGTTTTTACATAAAGAAATCTTGAAAAGGGAAAAAAAACAGTAAGTTTTGCCGATCAATATAACCCACTAAAAAATTGAGAGTACAGAAATTCACGATTTTCGTTAATTAGAGAGTTCGATACCTAAAAATTGATCACCACAACTTTTTAAGAGTTGTTTGCCTACATAATCATAATTATGCTACAAAAATTGTAGTTGATGGCTACAAAAGTCGACGACGACCTTTTGTAGTCGGTCCAGTGGTCGGGTGTGATCTCAGATGACTAGAGATAACTGTTGGGACTTCAAGAGTTGAGTAGTTAGCTCACTCATCGAGCTGCTCGATTTCACTATAAACATGTCAATTTTATAGATTGTTTATATTTCTAAATAATATATTAAAACTTTGGGCCACATTTCAAGTGTTTGTACTAGGCTTATTTGAATTCAAATTGTATCAATTTCATCATTATTTTGATATTTTGTGGTGGAAAAATTGCAGAAATGCATGCGGTGTTTGATCTCAACCGCTTAATATGTATTTAGGTGGATCCTGAAAAAATAAAAAAATAAAAATGAGGCTCACCGAAATACATATTTGCGGTGAAAAACAGTGGAGATCAGACACTGCATACATTTCTGCATGTGGTGTCTTATGAAATAATTTTTCGTTGTGATGACCCTTAATTGAGATTCCTGCATGATCATAAAATTATTTTTATTACACAACAATTGTATTTTATCTATTTATTAAAATGTTTTTTAAAAATTAATGTATTAATCTTGTAGATGTAATAGAAAAATTAGACATTATAAATATAAAAAATTAAATTAAATCTCGGTACAGCATGTAAGGGCTCCTGCGGTGCACGTACCGAATAAAATCCCCCAAAATCTCCATGTTTACAAGCTGATGGCGGCAATGAACAGTTCCGGCCAAGTACTTCCTCGCCGGAACCCTAAAATTCCCGAAGACTCTGTCTTCTACTCCATCTATTCGGACGACATCAAGTCTTCCAGCCCGCCTAATGCCGCCGCCACCGACCTCCGCCCCCTCCTCCTTCGCATCCATTCCATCCTTGCCCCACTCATTTCTACCTATATCTGGCAGCACGAGCCGTTCATCCTATCCACCGTTGCTTCCTCCACCTCCTGTCGCCTATGCGGGTCCCCTCCCATTCCTCATTTTCACGGAAAGACTCGTTTCGGCGACAACCTGGAGGACGAGTGGTTCATCGTTTTCCTCCTCTTCGAGATCTCCCGTGCATTTCCCTCGCTTTCCATCCGGGTGTGGGACTCCGACGGCGAGTTCCTTCTCATCGAGACAGCCTTCTCCCTTCCTCGCTGGCTCAATCCCGATTCCAGCCCTAATCGCATTTTTATTCGCGCCGGCGACCTCCACATAGTCCCTAAGTGTATCTCTTCATCCACTCCCTCCCTAACCGTCTCTCTTGAAGCCTTGAGGAACCCTGAAACCGACACGAAAGCATCGAATTCTATCCAATCCATTCTGAAGAAGAAGATCTCGGGTTACCCAGAGAAAGCAAGGGCAAATATGCACAGAGCTGTAGTTACTGTTCCGCTTAAAGTGGCGCAGGTCCTAAAGCACGAGCCTTGCTTGATTTCTCTGGCGGTGGAGGGATTTTATGACCGGGACGTCGATTCAATGAAACATGCTTCAAGGATGGAGAAGTACTTGAGGACTGAAAAGGCGGAGGGAGAGATTGAGATGGTTAGGGTGTCGGTGGAGATGTCGAGGGCCATGTATGCGCAGCTAGTGCAACAGAGATTCCAGGCGCCGAGGTGCTACCCAATGCCAGGGAGGGAAGATGGGCCGGTGGCTTATAAGGAGGCGGAACTTGGGATGAAGATTGCTTGTGGATTTGAGATGATGTATCAGGAGAGGAAGAGGGCCGGAAAGGAAGGCAAGGGGAGTACGTGGGATGCCTTTAAGGAGAGTTTGGAGAGGAGCGGATGTTTTAATGGGATGCTGCCGGGATCCATGGAGTACCAACGAATCATGGATAACGCATTAGAGTACTACAAAAGCAGTTCTTTATTTTCTCGAACAAGGTATGGGATCCTTTGAATTTATACAATTTTATTAGCAGGGGAATGCAGATAATTAAACATAAGAGTTAGCAGTGGTAAGTTTTCTATTTAAATAATGTAACCATTGCTATACATATAGATCATGAGCATGGGAACCTTGAGAAGATGTAAAAAAAAAAAGAAGACAATGATTTGTTTCTAACTTTCTGTACTATATATGAGATGTAATTTACTTCTCACATAATATTTAATTTTAGTATCTCTATTTGAAAGTTTTAGAGCATTAGTGGTGGCAAATGCTTTGTTTGAACAATCTAGCTTTTGCTGTATGGATCAGGATCACATGTAAGGAGGCCTTTTAAATACCGGCGAAGATGCTTAAACTTAAGTATCTTTGATGTATTTTAAGATTTTTGGACAAATATTTCCTGCAAAACATAAACTTATAATATGTTTGTATAGGGTGGGTTTCATATTGAGAACCTGTATGATATTTCTAGAATATATGAGCTCATATCTATCTGTATTTATCACTAACCGTCTATTTGGCCTAAATGTTTTTTACGACATGTCAACACACCAGGATGAGCAAATAAATTTTTATTTATTCCGATAAAAAAATTACGTGCTAACAATTACATAGTTATCTATATAAATGATTTGAGCATCTAAATTCAGTTACGCCTATCCATTTAGTCACAAAGGTAAAATTGCAACTTACCATCCATCATACAACAATTCATCCAATTAGACCGATAAAACAATTATTTGATGAAATTTATAATTATATTACATAAATCACTTTCCCATAATTCTTGAAGCATGAATTTAGAAACATCAAGTTCAATAATGCACAACTCACAAATTCAACATGCGCGAGCTTGTAAGAACAAAAAACTGAGTAGTGGAAACCTACTTGCTTAATTATAAAGATATCATATCACAACTATTATAACTATTGCATCAACTAGAATAATCTTATGTAACAAAATATACAAGATAGCAACTATTATGCAATGATAATCATTTTTTAGAATCAAGATAAAGATGTGAAAAATGACTACCAACTAATTGCTAAAATAAGAATGAGCATCAATCAATGATATCTTATAATACTTCTCTCATAGTATTCAGAAGTTTGAATCTAAAGGATGGCCTTCAGATAATTTAAAAATCATTGACTACTCTCTAAAAAGTTGTCATATTGAATTTCAGGCTTGCTTCCAAGCTATTCTATAAAATACCAGTTAGAAGAACACAACCAACAATCATATTATAATCAACAACAATAACAACAACAAGAATTCTTCATCCCACTAAGTGGGGTTGGCTATATGAATCCTTTTCTCCATCGTATCCTATTGAGCGTCATATTCAAGGTTCTGAAACCGGACCAGACATTGAACTGCTGGAAGGAGAGGCTCCAAGTTCAAAGGTTGAATCGGGGTTGAACCGGATGTTCAACCGGATGATCTAATAATTCATAAACCTATTTAAAAATGATAATGCATAAAATTTTCATACCACTCAACTCCTATGTATTTAAATATCTAACCTAAAATTCAATTTTCACGTATAATTTCATCAATGCATGAAAACGTGTATTTCAATTGCTAAAAGTTAAAATAATGATATGTTTTATTTGATATGGATGATTTTGGTGGCATAAATATAAAAATATAGAGTGTAGGTGTTAGATATGTAAATAAATAAAAATGGGTGGTATGTATGTAAGTTGATTTTTTTGTAATAACGATGTTTTTGATGTGATATGAGTGATTTGGGTTGTATAAATATAAAAAAAAATAGAGTTTAGATGTTAGATATGTAAATTACACAAATTGGGTGGTATATATGTAAATGCCATTGTTTACATAAAATTCGGTGGCATGTATGTACATTGAATTTCTTTGAAACGAATTAGAGCAGATTATATTTGTTATTTTGTAAACAATTCATCTTTTTTTCTTTAATCCCACACAATAAAATTAACAATTGGTTTTACTATTTAAATTAAAAAAAGTTGGCAAGACTTGTGTACCCTATGAACTGAACAATTCTTTAGAATCGAAGCCGGTTCACCAGTTCAGGAACTGTTGGTTCTATCCGGTTTTGGGTTGTTCAATGTCAGAGGGGTTTTTTATGCTAAACATAACCAAACCTGTGGATTGCTCACGGTTGAACCTGCAGGTCTTGTCCACTTTTCTAAACTGTGGTCATATTTTCATTTAAATCTAATAGATTAAAATCATTTTATATATAATATGCCCAAGTCTTTATAGGTCTGTCGCTGCCTTTCTTAAGTCGAATCTATAACATCTACTCTCATAACCGGATCATCAGGTGATCGACATTTAATGTGACCAAATCATCTAAGACGAGCCTCTCTAATCCAGTCTGCCACTGGAGCTACACCAGCCCTTTCACGGATAGATTCATTTCACATTTTGTCTCGAAGTTTCAAGCGACTCATCCACCTAATCATTCTCTTCTTAGTAACACTTAACTTTGTTTTATGTGTCTCTTTTGAAGACTAACATTCTTCGCTATAAAACATTGCAAGTTTCACCTCTATCTTATAAAACTTTCCTTTAAGTTTAAGCTATACTTTTCTATCAGACAATCGGCCTAATGCATTCCTCCAATTCAACCAACCAATCTGAATTCTACTATTTACATCCCCATCTATATCACCAACACTTTGAACAATCGACCCGAGGTATCTAAAACATTCACATATTTTAATGATTTGATCGCCCATAGTTACAACTTAGCCCCTAGAACTCCTATTAAAATTACATTTTATGTATTCAGTTTTAGATTTACTTAAATGAAGGCTTTTAAACTCCAATGTAGACATCCTTAATTCAATTTTTTCCTTAACTATTTCTCTAGTGTTATCCACAAAAAGGATATCATCTACAAAAAGCATATACCAAGGTACATCATTATGCAAATTTCAAGTAAGAGCATCCATAGCTAAAGCAAAAAGATATGGGCTTAATGTCGATCCTTGATATAACTCAACTTAAATAGGAAAATACTCGCTAAATCCTCCTTCCGTTTGAACACAATTAATGACTCTAGAATACATATCCTTAATGACTTGAATATAAGTTATATCAACACTTTTCTTTTCTAGAACTCTCCAAAGAACTTCTCTTTCTTCAAAGAACTTCTCTTGGAATCTTATCGTAAGCTTTTTCTAAATCAATAAAAATCATATGCAGGTCCTTCTTACTCTCTCCGCACCTCTCCGTCAAACCTCTGAGCAAATGTATGATTTCATTAGTAGACGTGCCCGACATAAATCCAAACTGATTATGAGAAATTTTTGTATCACATTTTAACCTATGTTCAATTTTCCTCTCCCATAAATTTAAAGTTTGACACATTAACTTAATTCTTCTATAATTTGCACACTCTTGTGCATTCCCTTTACTCTTAAAAATGGGGACCAAAATACTCTCCCTCATTTTCTTGGGAATCTTTTTAGTTTTTAAATTAATATTAAATAGTTCAGTAAGCCAAGAAACTCTCAAATCTTTGAGATATTTACATACTTCAATTAGGATATCATCAGTTCTTACTGATTTTTCACCCCTAACTTTCTTTAAAGTCTACTCAACTTCTTTTTTCTAATGCTCCGGTAAAAGTAAAAGTTTTGTTATTAGTAATGATATTAATATCACTAAGGTCGATCGTATTTTCAGAAATTTTATTTTAAAGTTTATCAAATTAACTCACCCACCTATTGTGAATATATTCCTCTAAGAAAATCACTTTTTGATTTTCTTCTTTAATAAATTTTACTTTAATTAAAATTTTAAATTTTTTTTTCTCTTTGTTTTGTTAGTTTATACATATATTTTCACCATCTTTAATATTTAATATATTATAAAAAGAATTAAAAACAAAATTTTAACATCACAAATTATTCTCTTAGAGCCCGTTTGGGGTAGCTTATTTCTGCGGCGATGTGGGAAAACGTAGAAAATTTTGTTTGGTTGTAGTGGCGCAGCAGCGGTTTAGTCACCATGCAATCAAACGAGGACTGCGGATTTGAACCCGTAGTCCACATTTTTTCGCAATTTTATTACCTGGCTACCCTCCTTCATCATAGTTCGAACTCTCTCACAAGACTGCCCCATTCTTCTATCTCGCATCTTTGTCCTAAGTATCTTCTCCTATGTCGCTTCTCTCCGATCTCCGGCTCCGACAACACGTTATTGCCTTCTCTCTCGCTTCTCTCCGATTTCCGGCTCCATTTGGTTCTTTTGCTCTTCGTCCGACTCTGGTATCCTGTATCCCTTCTCTTTGTTGTTATGTTGTATGCTCTTTGCGGTTTAAGGTTCATTGCCGTGTGTGACTTGCTTTTTGCGATTTGTGGTTTTGCTCTACGGAGAAAGCAGATTTCTCTCTTTGAAGGTTGGGATTTTGGAATTTTTCATTTTTTTTCCCGTTGAAATTTGGAGGCCTTTGCTCTTTGCTCTATGTGGTTTCTAGTTCAATGTGGTTTGTGGTTTGTGGTTTGTGGCTTGATTTTAGTGGTTTAGTTCAATGTGGTTTGTGGTTTGTGGCTTGATTTTAGTGGTTTGCGGCGTCCAAAATGCGGCATCCAAAAGGAAAGGACCTAGAATTTGCACTTATTTTTTCTGTGACATTTGTAGGTTGGTCTTTGCAGGTTACTATTGGTGGGTTGCTCTTTTTTGTGACATATCAGATAGGTTGCTCATTGTGATTTGTGGCTTCTGTGTGTGCCCACTTAAATTTTGGTTTTGCTACTACATCTCTCGGTTGGGTTGCTCTTGGTTGTTGGCCCTCTTTCTCGGATGGATTGCACATTGTGGTGTGTTGATGTGGTGGTTGTGGTATGTTGATGGTGTGGTGGTGGTGGTGGTGTATTGGTTGTGATGACGTCGTGGTGGTCTGATGGTGTTGATGATGTTGTGTGTAGATGGTTAATGTGTTGTGTTAGTGTGTTGGTTGTGATATTCAAATTAGATTTCTATTTTCATGTATGAAATGTCCAACTAGGACTGATGCAATTATAAACAACACAATAATATAGGGGCAAAAAAATATTTTTATCATAAACAACTGTTGACACAAAACAAACAGATACACAGCTTCCCCGCAACAACTTTTTAATAAGTTGCAGCTGCTCTAAACAAACTTTTAGACTACGTACGAGTCATCTTATACTTTTCTCAGTTATCTAAGTTTTTACATTTAAATAAATTTTTATAACACAACTTCTTATATTTTATTTTTTCTTTCATATTATTATTTCACTGCAAACCTTTTTTTTTTATAAAATCTTTTTATTTTGATTCTCAAAGTATAACTTTTATCACTTATTTAATAATATTTGTTACTTTATCCAACATTGAATTAACTTCTTTATGAACATCTCAAATATTGAAATTCTAAAGTATAGTGACTCTTGCACACTCTTCGCTGTATTTAGGCTATACAACGTGTTGCTTCTAGGGGACGCCCAAAATTTATATAATGATTTAAATGATTCATGTTATGATTTTTCGACAAATTTTTATACTGATTGTCGACTACCTAATGCAACCCTCCACTTTTCACATTTGTGGCCTAGGACCTAAAAGTGGTAGTGTTAACGATCTGGCCTAGGACCTAATAGTGGTAGTGTTAACGATCATATCCTTCAAACATATCAATATAGTTAGAAATATATGAGTTGCCGTGAGTACAATGCTACAAGAAAGGTACACATTTACATCATAATTCAAATAGATAAGCAAATCAATTAAATTACATCTCATTGATATTGGATACTTGAGAACTAGTGCCATGCCAAAATGCAACAATATACAAAATAATAGGTCAACAAAATTCATGCACGATTGTAATTTGCTTTACTAATATGTACTTACAATTATACAAGTGTGAAGATTATCAAATAATAACCTACGCAGTGTCCATAAAGGAGAAAGGGTATAATTAGTTCTCAACGAGTAAGACTCACATATCACAAAGTGAAAAACTCACATGCAAGCCTACTCATCAGTCTTCTTTTTTAAATTCACGACTCATAAATCAGTAATTTTTGCCGAGTCCAATACGCAAGGCATGCAACAAATCATTTGAGTTATTGTTAACATAATATATGAATTAATGCTGGTAAAATGAGTCCTCAACAAGTAAGAGTCACATATCACAAAGTGAAAAGCTCACATGCAAGCCTACTCATCAGTCTTCTTTTTCAAAAATCATGACTCATAAGTCAGTAATTTTTTGCAGAGTTCAATGCGTAAGGTGCGCAACAAATCATTTGAGTTATTGTTAACATAATATATGAATAAATGCTGCATCTTTCTTTGTTAATAATCCAAATACTTTTATATTAAAGGAATTACATAATTTTTTAAACCAACTTACATGCTTATATTAACCCATTAATATAATTTGATTGGAGCGTGATATATGAATAATTCATATATAATAAATTTAAGATTTTATTCTCTAAACCTGTTCTAACTCATAAACTAATTTATAAGATTAAATTTCAAAATACTTGTGAATAAAAAATATTTCTAATTTACCCATTGTACTTATTAGCCCTTCACTCATCTCTAAGTTAACTTAGAAGCTTATATTTTAAACAACTTATTGCAAATATAAATAATACATCAAAATCCCACTCCAAACCTTTTGTTTGTAACTCTTTAACATGCAAATATTCGAATGAGGATGCTGCTTTCCAGTTTAAAAATTTTCACCCTAAACTTTACCATCAAGTATTTCTCTCCAAATTAATATTTAATCTAATTGGTGATCCATTCATCTTTATCCTATGCATCATTTATTAATTTCAAATATAATTTGATGAAAATGACATGATGCACTATTGTTCTTATATCAATTATGAAGCCCTCCAACCAAGCTTGGATGAAACCTATTCCATTTGACTTTTAGACCTTAAAACATTGAAAAATCTCTTTTTATTTGAGTTGGGGTTTCCAATCCTAATCTTTAGATGAAGAGGTGGAAAGCTAAGGGAAGGAAAGATCTAATTTCAAAGATTTGCTCACAATCCTCAGTCAATTATCTCTTGCCATGGTTGAAGAGGATGTTAAAACGAGGAGTTGGGGGCATCGCACCATCTTTATTTTGTCTCCATCAAGTCATCGGTGAGCACATCATTCAAGACCTTGCTCACAAACAAAGTTTTGTTTTGTTTTTTTTGGCTCAATTTCTCTCTCTCTATGTTTTTTCTCTCACTTATTTTCTCTCTCTATTTTTGCTCCTTTTTATGTTCTCTCATTTGGAAATTAAGAGGGACATGCTCACTGCTTCTTTTTTTTGGCTGTGAGATAACTAAGTCTGTTCAACTAATCTGGTCCAAACCTTTAATATTTTTGTTTGGGACATTTACATGCATACTACATTATTCCTTTGTATTTAAATCTCTAACATCTATACTGATGTTTACATTTATAATACTCAAACCTTTAATCTCAAATAAAAAAATATCACTATTACTAACTTTAACAGTGAGAAATACCTTTTCATGCCTACGTAAAATGTTGCAAACAACAAAGTTTAGTGTTCGATATGTAAATACATTGGAGTTGTGTGATACGCATATAAATCATCTTTTTTTTTTAATGGGGCGTCTTGCTCATTTCTTACCCCATTTGCAGTTTAGAAAAAGCACAAATAGAGAAGTCGTATGCTTATTATACATTCAGGTGGAAGTACTAAAATAAATTAATTTCCATGCCAGAACAGAAGTTGCAGACTGATGCCATTATTTATTGTAGAATGAGAAGGTATAGGAGTGATGAACTAAATGCATCATTACAGGCTATTAGAAAGGTTTAATTGAACTTCGATTGACACCAAGTTTAGTTAAAAAAGAATTAATGGTGAAAGTTTTGTCTGGCATGCTAGATTTTATTATCAATGACTTTTACATAAGGATTTTGTCAAAACTCAAGAGTGTTTTTGAAACATGAAAAAACATTGATGACATAAATCCTTTGACATGAAAATGGAATTAATTTGAGATGGAGCCCTGAATTTATTTCTAGTTTTACTTTCAGTGTAACACGCACTGGCAAGAACTCATCTTATGGAGGTTTATAGCTATAAAGAAGTTTTGTAAATCTAACTTTCGATCAATTCAGTGTTGCACATTTCCAAGTTATGTGAGCATATTTGTTATGAAATATAAACAATTTTGACTGTTTTCTGAAGAATGGCTTTGTCGCAGGGACATCCTGACTGCTCCTCTAAAAAGGATTGATGAAATACTGACCTCAGTATATTCCATAAATGATTTCAAAGATATGCATATTGTTCCTCCAGATGATGATTCCTGGTTATATAATGGAGAAGATGAGTTAAATTCAGCCATATTAGAGAGACAAATGGAGATGGAAGCTTATGAGTCTAAACACAGGAAAGAAGAGATGGTAGTAGGGGAGGAACGGTTTGGCGGTTCTAGTTCTCAAACAAAGGATTTTAATCTTAAGGATGTTGCAGAATCTATGCAAGCTTTTGTTAGAAAAGTTTCAAGCTTTGAGGGAGCTGAGGTTCCTGATGACTGGTATGTTGATAATAATGGTGAATATTATGGTTTTAAATGATGACTGCTTGGTGCTGTTTTGTTCATTAATTTGTATTTTTTATATGCTTATGGTACTGTAAACATAATTTTTTGTATGAAGATTCACATACATACCACTTAATTCTTATGTATTAATATATCTAACACCTATACTTCAATTTTTACAGGCATGCCGCTTTACCTTTGCATGGAAAGGTGTATTTCATCTTTTAAAAGTTAAAATGTGGGTATTTTTTATGTGACAAGTAAGATTTGGGTGGTATAAATGAAAAAAGTTAAGTTTAGGTTTTAGATATGTAAATACATAAGAATTGTGTGGTATGTATGTAAACGTCCCTTTCTTTTACTGGGGTTGTTTTAACTCTTTTTTATTCATGTGCTTCTGTTTGGTTTAGCCCATTTATGTTTTAACGTTTATCTGCCATAACTTGATTTTTTTCATGACCAACTTTGGCTAGGGAAAACATCTTGCAAGACAAGTAGATCGTTAACATAAATTACTGTTGACATTTCTAAAATCCAAAGCCGCTCAAGTTATTTTTCACCGAGTAATTTTTAAAAAATTAGTAAGAAAATAGTATCACGGCATGACCTAAGATACTTGTTCATCACTAATTCTTTTGAACATCTTTTATCCATATTTCTTAGGCCAATCTCCTCTCCTTTTGAGAATTATTGGATACTAATTTATATGCTTGTTTATTTGTTATATTTTTTAATGTTAACTGTACATATTCAAACCACTTGAGTTTTTTTTCAATTATAGTATTTTTCAAAATGCCATTCTAATCATTCTTTTAATATAATTATTCCTTTAGACAGCTCAAGTCAATGGAGTATATTTTTAAATTGAGGGGTGGTCCTTTGAAAGAGATGGATGACATCTATGTACAAATGGAATTGTTTATATTCCTCGCTTGTTTATTTTGATTGCTTCAAATCTCTGTAGATAAAAAATTATAATTTTGAATCCATGTGCTAAACATAGGAAAATTGAAAACATATATCGGAAACATAAGAAGTAAGATAAAAAAAATGTTGCATTAAAAATAACTAATTGGTAAGATTGCACTGCTTGAGTTTGGAAGAAATAGGATAAAGCAAGAAGTTTAATATGATGTGAAGCGCATTCCAGACACCAAGGAAATTATAATAAAGGGCATTTACCTAGTGCTTTTGGGAAAATGTTTGGAGTATCTTCTGCCGTCATTACTGTATGTTAAATATGTGTACATAAAAAACATGATTTATTCTTCTCAGCACTATGCTGTTAGGAGTAATTTTTGTTGTAAAATGTTTGGGCAAATCTAATAAACTTTAAAATAATGCTTTCCAGATGCTTAAAGCCTACTATTTTCACCATATGAGCTTATAAGGCATGATATTTATAAGAAACTTAATGTACGTGGAGGTGGTGGGTTAACCTCACATATTTTTATGATATACAATCTAGAGATGTACATATGGTCCTAAATGTATTTTGATTTGAATGAGCCAAATAGCAATTAGTAATTACTGAAGGACAGAAAGATAAGCTATAGTTTATTGGCTTAAGCTAAAATATTCATGCATGTAATTATATCAGAATGCATAACCGGTATTGTTTAACAGTTCTTTTAATTCAACTCTTTTGGTATTTATACTTCATTGACTTTTTCTTATCTTCTATTTTTTTCCTTCTCAAATAATCTTACGTATGCAATGGAGGTGCCTATAATTTTTTATACATCTTATCTATTTTCTTTTTTCGTGATTTCTTGCACCTGTACGTTCATCGTAATTACTGGAATGATAACATGTTTTCCCTTTTTCAATAACAAAAGGTCAGAGGAAGTGAAACTTGATGCTGAACTGTTTCTTAAAGAAATAGAATCAGTTGCAGGTCCCGTTCCGCAAGGAAAAAATTCATTTGATGCTGATTTAGAGGAACTTAACTGGTCTTCAGATATGGATTTTGGTATGTCGGCATTGTGTTTATTTTTACTTAATTTGTCTCGATGATTTTGTGGACCTACTTTTTTTTTGGAGGGAGGGGGGGCGGACAATTACGCACAAACCACCCGAAACTTGTTATTTACAAATCAACCACCATCTTTCATCTAATTTTCAAATTCTCACTCAAATATCAAAATTCATAGAAAAAAACCCAACCCATATCAAATTCTCACTCAAATATCACTCACTCAAATATCAAAATTCATAGAAAAAAACCCAACCCATATTTTAAATTTCTATCAAATTCTCACTAATTGGATTGTGGCTGGCGTAAATAAATTTTTTCGGTAGTTCAATAAAATCTCATGGGTAGTTTATTTGTAAATATCAATGTTTTGGGTGGTCTGGATGTAATTATCCCTTTTTTATTTGTTTGTTTTTCTACTGTTGGATATTTAGTATCTCATATTATTAGGATTTTGTAGTTTTAGTTTTGTCATGGTATTTATCTCCCACTTTTCCATCATCCGCATTGCCTTGGCTGCCGCTACAGTTCTCGGCCTTCTGCTTCGCTGCAATCGCTGTCTCTGCCTTGCACCTTCACTGTTGTTGCCTCTCCAATCTTTCGTGTTGTTGTTTACCACTGTCTAGCCACCCTTCATCGTTGTATCCGCCCACGAACAACCTCCCGATTATTTTTTTCTACGGTTTCAACCACTTACAATGTCGTCCCGGTCACACCGTAACTTACCCCCCTGGTAGGGTCAAATGTAGTGCGACAGAGACTGACAATTTTGTTAAACCAACTCTCATAATCACTCTTCCTGACTTGTATAATCAAGACCCAGTGGGTGATGAATTACTTTAATTAGTTCGTCACAGCATATGTGATGCATTTTATTTCATATAGATACTTGAAAGCATGAAAATCGTATCATCCAAAATATGGCTTGCTAAATCAAATATAATAAAAATATGTACACAAAATATTTTTACACACTTCCAAAAGTATTGTGCAAAAGTTATACAAAGACACCTGCATACTCGCCCTAGTGCTTGTTGCCCATACCTGGAAGGCAACAATAAAGAATGAGTAACGGAGAAATAATCAAAACTAATATAAAATTTTATACATGAAAAAGAAACAAAGTACATGTTCGTATGAAACTATACATGTCTATACACAAATCATAACATACTAACATAGTAGAGAACATGAAAAAAAAAAAAACATAATCAAGATTACAATATAACATGTTGGTCGTAGGCATGAAATCATAAGTTTAATCAAAAACATGTTCATAATATATTATCATAGCAATGTCGTTCATAACATATCATAGTAATGTCACTTGCTTAATGTATATGTTCAACTATTTATATGTTCTTTCATCATGGGTTGTCACCCTGGCCGAAAAACCATATAAACTATTGATAAAGGTTGGACTTCCTCCAACTTAGTAGTTATCGACAACCCCCCTTATTCCCACGGTTTTTGTCATCGCCTAATTCGAACGGTTCTCAGAGTTTCGTTCATGTATAAATTTCAGGAGTCGGGAAGACTACATCCCTGCATAATATACTTGCAAACATTCATGTAATAATCTACCAATAGCATTTTTTCTAACATTTAATCCATCACTCCTGCATCGAGCATTTATCAAACATTACATGTATAGTAGGCATAGACACGAAGTATAACAAATGAATACTTGCAGACAATTCATATCATATGCATAATTATATATAGTATAGTATGATCATAACATCACATATATCGTAAAAAAAATAATATGCATTCATATTTTCAATTGCAGGTATTCATTTACAATATGTAGGAAGTTCTAAATACATCCGTGTCAAAATAGAATCATATGAATATCTATAGAAGATTATTTTTCTTAAATTAGCACAAGATTATTTCACGTATTTTGACAAAGCAGCCCTACGATTAGTGTCTACATGCTCGTCTCAAGCTCGCCGCCTCGGATAGACACATGAGGCTCGTAGATAACATATGATTTCATAAATATTGGCCCTTTATAATATTCTTTATAATCGGGTGAAATGTCTTAGTAGTGTCTTTTTAATATGGGGGTTGCTTTCTAAAATTTTCAGCAAAAATCACTCAATTATGATTAAAATCTGGTGGGGATTTTGAAAGCCCTCATGATGGTTATGAATTGATGATAGAAATATATTTATGCTATAGTATTTAATCCGGCATATACTTTCTTTAAGAAGCAAGAAGACCAATTAGTTATTTCCGAAAATCAAAGAGGAAGTTTGATCACATAATTTGTATGGTTGTGAATGCATATATGAGAAATTTAAAGAAAATAATCAACGATATAATTTCCTTACATCAAAATGGGTTATTATAAAAGGTGGGGAGTTGCTAATCTTTCAATTATTAAGAGAGGTTAATTGATGTTCTATAGTCAATCCAAATTTAATTTGTGATAAGTTGGCTAATTTCATTAAGAAAATTGTTATAATTATTTTTTAAGAGCCTAGAAATAGTTCTCATATAGGTAAGAAAATTTAGAGGTAAACTTAAGGGTGTCTCTAGGGTTGGACTATTCTTCGTAAACCCCCACCGATTCACGTGCACGCAAACAAAAGGAATTTGAGAAATTTTCTACAATTACTTATCCCTTTATACCAAAATCCCTGATTTGCCTCTTGGTTAAGTGAGGAGATAAAATATTATAAAATAAAAAAAATAAGCTTTCGAAGAATGTTCAAGCGTAACCATACTAAAGCATAAGAAAATTAGAAATAGTTGGACTAAAGATTTCACAATAATAATATGATTCATCAAGGATTAATATGCCTTATGTTGTTGTGTTGGTCATGAATGCTTATGAAAATATTCAAAGTAGGCTATCCTTCTATATGCTATATGAAAATGACATTGTTTATTAATTGAAATAAATGAAAAGTTGAAGAAAATGGATGAAATGTAATCCAAGACTCAAAGATAAAAATCTTATGCATGCCCAACCCTAAACCTATTAGGGTCTATTTATACTAAACAATAATAAGTAATAAAAGACTCAATTGCCCTTAGGTTAATAAAAAACTGAATTGCCTCTTAGGCACCGACATAACAACACTCCCCTCCCAAAAAATACATTGTCCTCAAGTTAGAAAAAAATGAAGGTTTTCCTCCACCCTAGCTTCCTCTATTTCTTCATCCCCTTCCCCCTCGAGGATCGACATCTTTAACTTTCTGTGATCTCGTCGCTGGCTTCCCCAGCTAGCTCTGATTGCGGCTTTATCATAGTATTCAACATGCTATCCCGATTTTGCTTCCCTGAGTATCTTGACGTTGTGATTTGGCTTCCTTGTGATCTTGATTTTGTTTCCTTGCAATTTTGATGTTGTGGTTCATATAGTCGATCACAACTGTATTGCAGCAAGCTGTAAGTTGTGATCCCGTCGTCGCTTCCCAGTTAGCTCTATTGCGGCTGTACACTGCAATCTTTTCTCCTCCCAAATGACCGCGATTTCGCCAATCTTCCCCAACTAGCGCGATCGCCACTCTATCGTCACGATAGATTAGTTCGATCGCGTCGACTTCCCAGCTCTCGATCCAATCGATCCAGACGCTATGATTTGCGATCCCTTCCTCTGTTCCCTTCTTCTTCCAAGATCTAATGTTCCGATACCACTTGATGCGATTTTTGACAAAAATTAGGGTAAATAATATTTTATTGCAAGGACATCAAACACTCAAGACAAATTCAAAGATAAGCACCTATATTTTGAGAGGTAGACGATCTCTATCAATTCCTACAAATCAACGGGTAGTAAATCTCTCCTAAACCCTAAGCCTAAGATTCTAACAATAACCTTGTGTATACCCAAGCCTAAACCTATTAATGTCCATTTATACTAAACAATAATAAATAATAAAAGACTCATTTTTTTTAAGCTAATAAAAGACAAAATTGCCCCTTGAGCACCTACGGAACAAATTGTTATGATGCATATTTTGTGTGTGGTAACTCATCTTGCCATGCTATCTTTGTTAGTTCCTTTGGCTAAAACTTTTGTTTTTGTGGGGCATTTACATGCATACCTACCACACAATTCTTATGTATTTATATACCTAACACCTAAACATTTATATTTACATGCATGTCATTCAAATGTTTAACATCACATCAAAAATATCACAATCACTAATCTATTAACACTGAAATACATATTTTCATGCATAGGTTAATGACAAGGCGTTATGAGTGTAAATATCAAATTTTGGATGTTAGGTATGTGAAAAAACGTAAGAATTGTGTGGCATATATGTTAACCC